TATCTTCTCTAATAAGAAGGAAGTTGCATTTACTTCCTATCTTCATTATTCTTACCTTTTGTATTTTCTTGTATTATTTTTTAACTATCTTTCTTTCTGTGATTATTATAAGTAAAGGTGTAATCATATATGTTACTGAGGAAGTGGAAGATCTATATAACATTTTAGAATATGAGTTTCTGCCTTTAGACCTGGCTATTGAAACACAGCCATTATTAACAAAAATAATGGGGTAAGTTTTCTTCATCTTCATCCGTTTGAGAAATGCGATTGTCTCAATATATTTCCACCCTTCAAAAGCTAATCACTTTGAGGTTTCTATGATAGGTATGGTTTACTTGGTGTTCCGTTGTTTCTTCTTCAAGACTCATGCCAAATATTTCGCACTGTGACACTGTGTTTATTTTCCCACCATAAAAATGGCACCCATTTCAAATAGTTTTATTCTTCTAGATATTGCACCACGAGAAAGCGAAAGGACATGTAGTAAAGAGATTGTTTTAGAGAACCAACTTCACGAGCATCACAAAAGGGAAATGGAATGTGTCATCACCTTTGGTTAGTGGATACTGCGGTAATTTTCTTGCAACATACATTTTTGGGGTCATTTACATTTAAATATGTATTATAACAAAAATATCTATTTTAACTTATGTGCATGTTTGGGAGCTCATTTTTGGAAGTTTCTTTTTACCGTTGCACAATATAAAGCTCATTCAATTTTAAAGATTTCTGACACAAAAATGATAAGAGGTTGTGCAAAGTTATTAGCCCCTGTTTGTTTCTGATTAAAATCTGATTTTAATTTCAAGTCAAATTCAATAATTAATTTTAACTACATATTTCATGTAGTCCACAATTTTTTAACCACATATTTTATTAATTTTTATCAAAATCTACTAAAAATTTGATTTTAATCTACAACAAACAAGGGCTTAATGTTTTTCTTTTATCATTTTTACCCAAACACTCCAAACACTGTAGTCAATGCGTAATATGGGTATAAATGGAAAAAGATACATAAATGCTACAGCACTTTGACATTCAACACTCATAGTCCGCCGTGCATGATGTGACCCAAAAATATATTTTTATCCTTAATTACACATTTGATTGCACAAACCTTCATTTCTATCTATTTTCATCAAATTTCTCAATAAAAGCTATTGTTTGAAAAATAAAGAAAATTAATCGACGTTGTATTAACTACATATGATGAAGTTTTGCTTAATTTTGGAGACTAGATTTCTGTTATGAACTAGGATGAGTTTCTTAAAATTCTGTAAATAAAGTGAGCAAATGTATGACATTTAATTGTCCATATCTTCTATTTATTACAATGCTTTTAAAGCAGTAATTTATATATATTGTTTATTTACAAGATAAGTTTGTATCATCAAATTACAAAATTTATTGTCAACCGACGATAATAATGTTTTATGTCAGCATTTTCTTCTAGAAAAGGGAGGAGGATTTTCTTCGGGATCTCTCTTGTCCATATTTAGTCCCCTTCATTTTGGAAGTTATCTCAATTTCTATATCTTTTCCTTCCTTACTTTCCATCTTCCAAGCATTTTATTTGTCGTATTAGTGAGTCCATCAAATTTTTAACGGTGAATTATTGAGTGATGAATGAAAAAATAATTTAATAAATTCGCTGACCATCCTTAAAAACTTAAGTTAAATGGCTAATGAGACAGCTGTTTGACAAGTTCGACGAACATCAAAATTTCCTCTTAGTCGGTACTCGGAGCATATCTAATTGTTGAGCCCACCAGATATTATGTTTTTATTTTTTCTTGAAAATGCAAACTTTTAAGTATTGTTTTCAGAGCACGTGTTGTTTAACTAATAATTGCGGTTACCACGACCAGGACTAGGTGATTTCCATCCAATAATTGGAATACTTGTTGAAACACTTGGGATCAAATAATTTGGACAATCACCTCTCACTTTACATAATTACTGTCTTCCTCCCATAGTACTATAGATTTGATTCCCTTTTTTGTCAGTTTAAATTATGTCACTTTCAGGATTTTAAAATTTTCTAACACGATGTCTTGTTATCAACAAATATGAATTATTCATATTTAAAATATTATTTAATTATTTAAAACAAATGTGTTGGGTGTATTTAAAAAAATTAGTCGTTCACTGAAGAATGTATCTAGATTTAGACATCAGCTAAACAAATTATTGTTTCGTCTTCAAATTATTTAATTTTTTTTTTCATAATTAGTCATTTCAAACAAATTTGCTAGTAAAATTTGATTGTACAAATGACGATACGAATGTGCACGTGCACAATTTTAAACCTTTAAAAAAAAGATCCAAAATTGTAAAACTCCAACTCGTTTGTTTTCTCCTTTGTAGTTCTACGTGAGAGACCCATAGTCGATCCCACATCTCTATTTGGTTCGTTGAATGTAGTCATTTCTTGATAAAGTGCTCATTTTCGTAGCAAACAATTGGGTGGTGTGAAATCACAATATATCTGTTTTAAGCAATAAAACAAAAATTTCAAAATAATAGAATAAAAACAACGGTAAAGCATTTTCCAGATACTACATCATTATCTTTATAATTACATTTAGAAATTACAACGTCCAAATTTACAAAATTTTGAGCAATGCTACAGTCACAGTTGGTAAATAATATTTAATATTTCGGACTGTGCTTCTACTTATTTGAAGTATTAATCTCGTTATTTAAAAGTTTAAGTGATTAATAAAAAATTATTTAAAACTTTTGAAATGAGACTGATATTATTTATTTGTATGTATTTTGTTTTTGAGCCCCTTGCTAATTATGTCCACACATGCTAACAAGCGGATAGAAAAATTCTGGATGATTCAAATATTACAAATGACAAAGGGACCCCACCCACCTTTTTTTTGGTGGTTGATAGACAATATCTTATTTAAAAGTCTGATTGAATTAAATCCTTCTACGAGTCACATCGGACTATAATTTTTGGCCTCCTCATCCCACAATGCGATGGGGAGACAATCAAGCCAAGTAGCTCATCGGATCGATTCATCAGGGCCCGATCTATGGGCGGCTTGGGCTCCATAGCTCAACTCACCAAGTCACAAAATTTGCAAGAACTTTTCAAAAATACAGAAAATGACCGCACTTTTCATGAAATATTGTTTTCTATGGAATTGAAGTTTAGAAAATACTGGGAAGTGCCTATGTTATTTCCTTTGGCAAGCATAATGGACATAGATATAATTTAAGAGGCACTGAATAAGTTATATGAAAAATTACAAATTGTTTAAATTTTGACCAATCTATCACTTATTCGAATTTAGAAAACACTTTAACTTCTAATTACAAATTGCATGCACAGTGATTGGGTGCAAATATTAGTCGGGCACCACCGCACTCACCTTTTCTGATAATCTTGAAGAAGACAATATAGAACTAGTGAATTTATTTGAAGGTATTATATATGAAAGATATGATGTAGGAAGTTTTTTTTCCTAGTATATCTCTTGCGTACAATACGACATCCAACGCAAGTCATACTAGAATGTCTACTGAATTAGTTAGATATTTTAATCATCAAATGCTCAAGTTTGTAGAACCTATTGATGAAATGTAATTTGATTTAATTAATTTTTGACAAAAGTACGAATGAAAATACTCTATTGTTTCTATCATTGCAAAAGGTATACTAATAACTTAGGTTAGCATTGTAGTTTCGGAGTCTACTTTTAGTATAGGTAAACGAACTCCATCCGAGGTCAAGAGCCGACCAAAAGAATATATTTTGGAATCATTGTTATGCGTAAATGATTGACAAGATGCTCATTTTCGAATATAATATAAGTATGGAAAAATTGTGCGTAATCAGGCAAATGGTATTAATTCATAATGCCATATAATTAAACTTTGTTATTTTCTTATTAATATTTTGATTTTTTAAAAAAATTGTGCATGTAACAAGTTGTTTGCGTACGATTTTAACTCCACCTACTTCAAAATTATGTAATTGATCCCAAACCTGGATAAAAGGGAGAGGGTTTCTAAAATAAAATTTTAAAAAGAATTTCAAATCTCAATTCAATCTTTTTTTTAAAAAAAAATCAAGCCTCCGATTATAAAGAATGTATTTCCTCAAATTCTAAGTATCGTCAATGGAGTTTGCTGCGAAACACATGAAAACGCTTCATTAACGATACTTGGAACTTGATGATTCTTTGTTTAATTTCGATGACTTGATTTTTAACTTGTTACGTGAACAATTTTAACTCCGCATACTCGAAAATAAATAGGGGATCTTAAGTATGGAGAAAATGAGGGTTTTAAAAAAAGTCAAACTTGTAGGCCAAGCTCAACTCAAGCCACGAGCTTGGCCCTTGAGAGCTAGGCTTGGCTTGTCCCCCCTTTGACAAGACGAGTTAACGGGTAATGCCACCTCCAGCGGTGTGGCAGGAAGGAGGCCATTTGCATGATTTCAGTCCCAGCACAGATTTTTGGGAAGCAAGCGGGGCAGGGACGTGACCTTCCTGTTTAATTAATTATTATTTTTTTAAATATGATTAAAATTGAAAAAAAAAAAACTTAAAATAAATAAAATAAACTATAAAAATTTGGAGCATGTTCGAAAAATTCTAGCAGAAATTATGTTCTCCATCCCCTCCCTTTCACGAATGGAAAACGTAAGGCAGGTCAAGGACAAGAAATTTTATCATCCCTACTCCTGATTAAAATTAATGTTAAAGAATTTTTCGGGATTGAATAATGGTATTTTTAATTTTATGGCAGTAGAGAGGAGTGTAAGCATGTGCTACACATCATTACTAGAATTAACATAAATGCCACAAGTGCAATAATACATTTGATTGAAGGTTCACATTTCAAAAATATGTCCCTTGACTCGTCTGCATGCCATTGGGTTCCACAGCCATTGCATCGATTGTGGCTTGTATATTACAGTGGATCCAATCATAATACATAGTTTTATTATTGAAGTCCGTGTAAGGAATCTCTGTCTATACCGCAGGTTGGAGAGCCAAACGAAGAGCCCTCACGACTTCTTTCAGCGACAAGCTGGATTCTTTCTCCATCTTCAACAGAACAAATTAATTTTTAGTAAAAGTAATATATTTAAAAGCTTGAAAAGGAAAACGAAAAGAAAAAAAAATCAACTTAGAGATTATTTTTTACCTCTGCATTAATGGTAATATCAAGAGAAAAACTTCCAAAGGATGTAGCATTCACATTGACAATTGAGAGATGGAGGCTCTCTACCTCGGCAAGTATTTTGGACAGAATACCTTTGTGCTTCTCACAGTGGATTCTAAGAAGAGTGTGGTTGTTGCAAACTTTAGCTTCGATTTCTGGCATCTCGGAGCTGTTATTCTCGTCGGAAGATCCCTCATCTTCCACTAAGAGCTTTGATTTCTTAACGAGCACCACAGATTCCACAGTTTGTTTTGCTGCTTGTTCCTCAAACGCCTTCACACGCTCTTGAAGTTGTTTTACATACTTAATAGCATCTCCCAATACAGAAGTTTTATCCACCTGCAATACTCATAATGCTCAATATATAACAATCTTGATTCTTGTGGCTTTTATAGGCAAGAACAAGTACCAGTATTGGAGAGTGTTAAAGACCAAAAAAAGCTAAAATCTTATCTATGGGGAAATGAATGGACAGCATTAAAACGAAGGAATAAGCTTGTATATACCTTCTTGAGGCCAGGAACTAAGGCTGAAAGAGCAACAAATCGTTGGCTGAGCAGCTCCCGACGCTTCCTTTCTGCAATTATGTGATCATAGGTTTGAGATGGCGGCCTAACACGACCATTTTTCTTTGTAGTTTGTGCGGTTTTTATAGCCTCTTCAGGGTTTCTCAAAGCTTCAGAAACTGCTGCCTTTTCTTCTGGATTCAAGGAACTTGGGTTATATTGCTGAGGACTTCTTGTAGGAGAATTCGAGTTGCTGAAATTGAGAATGATCGGAGTGGTAGAAGCAGCCGGTTCAAAATTAGGCAAGCAATAGTCATAATAATTGTTAGGCTTTTTCTGTTTGGGTGGTGGTTCAACGGAAACTTGAGGTGGTTCTAAGCCCGGGGAAGTGCACAAGCTTGAGATTGAGCTGTTACTTGGAATCAGATTTAATGAAGAAGATGAGTTGTTTCCTGGGGATAAATCTTCTCCAAGAAGAGCATTCAATTCTTCATCAAACGTGTCCAGGAAATCAATTTGGTCCTCAAAAATTGAATTATCCATTACCTGGAAAACAATTATGTTAAAATGCAGCATAACACGGTTAAAATTATTCATACAGTTTGTTTACGTATAGTTTCTTACCATTTCAGAGAAGCATGAGGCTGCTGAGAAATCCATTATTGAGGCCGATTTCAACTTGCTGAGTTCCTGCACGCAAATGACAAGTAAATTGCGTAAAGAAAATAGAAGAAATGGACCCCTGTGAAGGAGGTTAATCAGAAAGAAAAAGAAAATATGCAGATAAGTTTTGTTTTTCTTTATTTCCTCTTTCTTTTTTATACTCCTGAGTCCTGACTATCTAATGCAGATTAGTCCTCACCCTTTGCGATCGGACTCCCTCGTAGTCTAACAAGGTTCATTCTTATATAGAGATCCAACTAAAAACAATCATCTTTTCCGGTCAGTTAGAAAACGACTTCAATCTTTCGAGGCGTACATTTTTGAGGATCGTTTAGTAGGATTTTTACTTTAGCTTCCATTTTTTGTAGAAAAATATCCTAGAAATGGCAAAAAAACTCGACAAACCCGATATACACGGGGCGGAGATTACCTGCTTAATCGGGTATTCGAGTTGGGGATGGGGCGGGTACGGGTAACGGGTGCCCCGCCTTGTCCCGTTTAAATTTTTTTTTAGAATTCAATAATTTAAAAGGAAAATTTCACGAAATTTCATTAAAAAAATGACAAACAATAAAAATCTTAGTTTACGAAATATATTTGAATAATTTAACTTTTAAAAATAAATAAAAATTAAAAAATATATTATTATCACACTCTAATGAATGGAGACAATAAAATGAATTATCAAAAATTTAAAATAAAACGGGGTAGTACCCGCCCCGCTAGCGGTGGCAAAAGAGCTCGGAGGCTCAGACGGCCCGAGCTCGGCTCGGAAAAAGCTCGAGCCGGGCCCGGCTCGGGCCGGCCCCACTTTGGGGAGTCGGCTCGAGCCCGGGCCGGTCCGTGGCCCGGGCGAGCCTCCATTGAAAAAAAATAATAATAAAAAAAAATAATTTTTAAGCAGCATGCTGTAGGCAGCAAGCTTGCTGCCTGCAGCAGGCAACAGCTACGTGCTGCTTGCTGCCTGCAAAGGCAGCTAAAGAAGAAGATAGGGAAAAAAAAAAAGATCAAAAAATCCGAGCCGGCTCGGCCCGAGTTGGCTCAGGCCAAAAGCTCGGGCCGAGCCTCATTTTTTTTGGCCGGGCCGGGCTCGGCTCGGTTCGGCTCGGTCCAAAAAAGTTCGGGCTCGGCTCGTTGCCACCGCTACGCCCTGCCCTAAACAATTGCTTGGCAGGGGAGGTTGTTCCGATCCCGACCCGTTTTGTTGCCATCCCTAGAATATCTTGAAAAGCTCACAAATATCGACTTCTTCTAAAAGCTATTTTAGTCAAACAAAAACAGTTTCAAAAAATTATTGAAATATGTTCAAAAACAATTTATTAATCTCGAAAACGGTTGTTTTAACTTTCCAAAAGTACACTACTAAAAAGACTTATTTAATTTCACCTATCATTTAATATCACATGAACGTCATCTAAACTGTGTTTGTAACCCTAATGTGAATTAATATCATTACTCTAAAAAAAGGGATGATTAGCATTGAAAAAGTTTGTCCTTGATGCTCTAATTATTGTAGGTAACAACTTTAATTAGTGAGAGAAAATTTCAAAGGTAAAAGTGTATCACTGATTATTCAAATGAAACTTAACAACCCACTACAATCAACAAAGAAAAATTTATGTACTAATGAAGACAAGATGATCTGCTGATGAATGTAAATTCATAATTTCTCTAACCATAAACATAAAATTCAAAGCTCCATTCTAATCACGAATTCGTATTTTGAGCTCCTCTAATGGAGAGCCAACAATCACGTCAGTTGTAAGTTGCCATCTACTCTTTCTCTTCCTATCACTAGGTTGACCCATCAATTATTATATTCGCACTACATCTTTGTATAAATCATAACATTTTAATTATATTGTCATTAACCTATATTCAATGTTACATTTAAATCTTTAACTTTTTCATCATATTTTTATCTTTAACCTTTTATTATTTAACAAATCTTTTCTTTACTCACAATTTGTTCAAAAATATGGTTAACGTGCTTTAAAACGAGAAATAAATATTTAGTCTTAAATTTTTATTTATTATTTTTGCTTATTGAGAAAATCCGAGAAACAAATAAGTAATTGTAATCTCTCTTAACGAAAATTTTCAATAAAAATCATCATCATTGACAACTTGTGTTAATTTGTGAATGAGAATACAACAAACAAAAGTTATGATCATAAATGTGATAATAAGCAAAGATTATGAATAATGCTACTTACAGTCGCTCACTACAGCAATCGCCATATGTGGCACACACATGTTAAGTGTGTATTTGATACATTAAATGTAATCAAAAATTACTATATTAATGTATCAAATAATTACATGTCATGTGTGTGCTATATAGGGCGACTGCTGCAGTGAACGACTGTAAGTAGCATTACTCAAAGATTATAGATCTTTCATGCAATTAAAATATGGTGCATTTATTGAAAAGATTATAATTTTTTTTGTAATTCTTCAAAAGAAAAGGAAATATAAGCTACAACTACAAGTAAATTATTTATTAGGGTCCACGCTAACGGACTACTGCAAATTGTGTTTCTAATCATTGCCCAATATTTGGCATACCGTTTGTTCATATTTTTCGTGTGGAGCAAAAAATTATTTTAATACTATTATCTTATGTCACGATGTACGTGTCCCCAAAAGTAGGAAACAATAAACAATGAATATTGCTGCACGTATACGGTCAGTTTGGCCCTATACGTGTCAGGGGATAGCTGTCCACCTCCTCTGGCAGGGGGGAGAAACGACGTGGTCCCGAACGTGTAGCACTTTTCATCAACAAATATTGGACATGATTCACGCGATCCTCCTCCTTTTTTTTTTTTTTTTGATATCCAGGTATCTTAACTTATATCAGACTATATTCTGGACCACCCATCCTATCTTAGCTTACACCAGATTATGTCCTGGACCACCCATCATCTGCCCCTCAGTGATGGGTGGTGGTTAATCGCGAGATATACTCAAATTGACCAGGGTTTGTGCACCCTTTATTCCGATCCTCCTCTTTTTTATTCTTTGCGTCCATGAATATAGATTTGTTTCTATTTTTACATAAATTAAGAAAATATAATTTTTACTTATATTTTTTTAATATACCACTACATTAAATAATGATTTAAATAGCATTAGTTTATATTTATTGATAATAAAATTTATTAAATATGGACATTAGAAATTGTTACTGACTTTTAGGAAGAATAGTCTATCGACATGATAGTTATTGTCACCGATGAACTAAATATAGGGGTACTTGTTTGAAATTATTAGTGACTTTTAGGAGGAATAATATTAGATCCTACAAAATATGTGACTGAAATTAATATTTGACTTAATACTTTTTAACTTTACCCTAGCAAGCATAGTAGCTTTAAACATGTCTTCAATATCGACATGGTTACTGTTATTTGCACACAATAGTGAATTGTTATACATTAGATATCAACTTAGCAAGATTATTCTCGTATTTTTGCCATGCAGCTATCGGCCATTATCTGTTTGTATAATTTGATACCGATCGAGACCAGTGGGCAGTTTAAAAATCTACAATTGGTCACCAAATTTATTCATGGGTTGTTGTATCTTAAGTCGTGTTTTTGCCAAAGTGTATTTGTCCTACAATTCATGTACAAAGTTGATTTTAAGTCCTTGGTGTATGAAAAATGCCACTCAAACAAGGCCAAGGAGCCCTTGATTTGACCTCAGCCCCCTGTTTTTGGGTCGGTCCCCCACCCTGTTTGAGGAGCACGGTTGTTGGTGTATAGATATTGTAAATCGAGATTTGATGCAGTTTTACTCAAAACTTAAAATAATTTAACTACCGACCAGAAAGCTCTGAGTCTTTTTTACGTAAGGTAACGGTAACTGACAACAATGAAAACGTTTAAGAATCTGCATTATATGTTTGGGAAGCAGCCAAAAAGATAGAACCTGCCCCAGATCCACCATGACAATTTTCAATAATCACATTGTCCGAAAGGTCATTTCCCATCACTTCCCATACACTGCTATGCAGATAGTTTCTGAATACTCTATAATGTTCGTAAAGTCCACCTTCAATTGTAACAACACTCTTCTTGTTTGCAATTCTTCCAAGCTTTTTAACAATTCCCACAATGCCGGCTCCCACAAGTCGAGCTCCACGTTCTGCTACGACATCGCACACTTCTCTAACTATTTCTCTCGCCATTGGAGTTGAATAGTTTATCTGACATCATTAAACTTATTAATTTATATAACCACAAAATATATTTTATAAGATGGGAGAAAGGTTGTGTATCGCCATATTTCAATTTTATCGGATTCGTTACGCTAATCCCTATCTATTTGTACGACCGTAAATGGCCTAATAGAAAGTCAGCTCATAGTAATCAAGAATGCTATGAAAGACTCTCTAAAAAAGAGAGAATAAAATTTACCTCGAAGATTTCCTTCAGTTTCTCATCCACCACTTCGAAATCCTCTGATGTGTCTTGGTGCATGGCAGCCATATCTGGTGACCTGTTAGATATTAATTAATTTAAATTTTCTTGCTTGTAATAAGTTTTTGTTATTCAGTAGTTTACATGTGCCTTTAATTGTGGTGTGACCACGAACACAGTACATTGCATTCAAAAAATCCTGGAAGATTTAGCTAGTTGTCTTACATGTCTGTCTAATTCCATCATATAACTCATGCGAATAAGAATCATAAATAAATTGGCATTTTCTCCTCCTCCATAAAGAGTTGTGGTCCTTTGAGTTTGGTCCAGTTATTCCAGCAATAAATATATGTGATAAAATTGTAACTTACCTCAACAAGTATGGAATCGTAAGTTTAGGTGGCACCCATTCTCCGAATAAAGCTGTTTCTTGAGCCATCTTGAGCAAAACTCACCTAACAATCTCTCCTAAATACATTCCTGAAATAAGCTTTTCAAACATCTTTTGGGGGGGGGGGGGGGGGGGAGTATTGGTGAAGCTTCTTAAATTAATAAATCAATTATTAATTAATTAATTAATTTTGAAATGTCAATTAATTGACTGCAGTAATTTTACCCTGCTACCAGGATTTGAGCTCTCAGCATCTAAAGAGGCATCAAACTCTGTAAACGGGAGATGGGAGGAACTGAAGTTTCCCCATTGCATATTTACAATCTGTAAAAAAATTTAAGCACATTATTATTGTTTGGTACCATATGACTCGACGCTAATAAAAAAGCTTTTAACTTTTTTTTTTTTTTTTTGCTTTTATGCAGTGACATGTCATAAGTATTAATTAGTCAGTGACCATTTCTCCAGAATTGGGTGATTGGCCATGCCATTTTGGAACTTGTTCTGCTGATTCGACATATCCAACATCTGTTCCCATTCCTAAAGTTATTGCAGCCACATTCTCTTTGCTGTAGTATCTTGCTCCAGCTAAATCCCCAGTAGTATCATTAGCCTGCATACAGATACCTTTAATCAAACTTTTAATGTTTTTTCCTCCCTTACTGGATAGATCGAGATGCAAATATAAAACAAGTTCTGAAGACAAAAATTAAAAATAACATTCAATGCTTAGTCATTGCAGAAATTAACTAAATTTATATAAAGCTCATAAAGGCCTAGATTTGAGTTTTGTTGTCATCCAATTATTAAAAGTTTAATTTTGCTACTTTGTCGGATGATTTTACCAAAATCAAATTGCTAGAATGAGTTGGCAATGTGATTGGACGGTTAGAAAATGTTTTTGGCCCAACTACCAATAAAATGCTGTCAAGTGCTAATCTGGCACATTTCTGGTAAAATCAATCCGATAATGTAGCATAATTCTTAAAAGTTTGCATGTGTCAAGTCTTGATTAAAAATATGATACGAGTACCGGCGAGAGAGTATGTTAAGATTAATTATGTTTACATAAATAAATGTGTCCTTAGCTTGACAATATACTTTCAGATCACATGATTTTGAAGTCTGTATCACTAAAGAGATGGGACAAAAATAACGGTTTTATGTACAACTTACTAGTGCAAAAACCCGCAAGTCTATACCATGCTTCTCCAGGGCCTGATTGATGTCATTCATCAATTCCTTGCCAACCTGAATAAATTTGCATCTTTTAAACTATAATGCTAGTCATGTTGGCATTTTTTTTTACCTAACTATGTTTAATACACAGTATTGAATACTATTATATAAAGCAATAAACATGATTTTAATAGTCTAACAAATCGAACATATGAAACGTGTCACACACGTAAATCAAGTTGAATCTATAATTTCCTTTTAGAGATTAAGCCCCTATAGATGACCATTTTTTTGGAAAAATATTATCTTACATAGTGATTTTTTGAAGAATATGTAGTTAAAAAGTAAGGAAAAGTTGTGGATTTACGTGCAGAATATTTTATTGTGTGAACGTGTAGTCGAGTCGAGAAGAGTAAAGAGTAAAGAGACTCAACTATGTCATTGACTGATAAACTTCTCCATTTAATGGCAGAGCCTGAGGATCTTGCATCTTCCTCCACTGGGAATGAAATAGTGAATCCCAATTTTCTTTCTCTTGATTCTGCCTTGCCATCAATTTCACTATGTACTGAAATAAATTTCGCTAGCTCCACCGCAATCAAATCAAATAATTCCTAAGTTAAGAGCGTTTATGAACTTATAATGAGAAAACAAATGAAATTTGTTCGCGATAAAAATGCAATACTCAACAGTATAATAGAAAAGATTTAATTTACTTTGGTAGAATCTCCATCCATTGCAGTCAAAGGAATTGCAACCTCTTCCCTTTGCAATTCAGAAATAGGTAAATTCTTCCCTCCAAGTCTCCCTCGGATCATAAGAAAATTTGTTCCTCGTAGATTTATCCCATAATATATTCCTTTCTCTTCACTGGCATCACGTGCATGGACATATATAAATAAATTGCAAGTGCATATATGCATAAAAATAATTTCTACCTGTGCATGCATGGAAAAAATTACGTACGTATATAAACCCTTGATCTTGATGCATGTGTATATATGTTCCAAGCAACATGCGAGTGATTACTAATCGTTGAGAACAAGATTTGAAGAAATATAGTTGTCGTTTTTTAATATTTTATTTTTTTAGACGAAATGGTTAGCACTTATTACCCTGTAGGGAGTGGTGCGATGTAAGAAACAAGCATCCCCATTGTACTTTCCTCCGATGAAAGCCCAGATTCCATTTTCGAGGCCAAGTCATTGGCTATGTTCCATAGTTTAGCCACCGGAGTGGCACAATCGTTGGCGAATTTGCGAAGAATTCGTTTTGTTTGTCTCAATCGCCGCTCTCTCTGCTGCTCCCAATGCCTCAAAAATACTGCCACGCCGACTGCTGCTGCACCCACTGTTATAGCCGCCACCACCACCTTCCTCATCTGTCTACTTTTTCTGTTCTTTTTTATGTTTTGGCATCTGTTTCAGTTTTATCGGCCTCGTTATACATTATTATCGAGGAGGAAACAGAATTTGCGACATTTACGTGGAGTAAACGAGTATTATGGTAAATTTCTCAAATTTGAACTCGAATTTTGATCAATTCTTAACAGAACAACGCACTTATTTTAAGTACTTGTGTGGAAGTGACTTCTTGAAATCAGTCGCTCTTTTTTAATCAAACATTCTCCAAAAAAATATATCATTTTTCACATTTTCGAGTAATTTTTTTTAATTTTTAACCACACAACTTTAAAATATCACTTTTCAAAACTGATCTTCAACCACACATTATTTAATAAAATAATTTTACACGTAAATCAAAAACTTTTACTTCTTTTTAACAACACATTTTGCCAAAATAACTATTCTAAAATACATTTTTTTTCACCAAAATGGGGCTCAAACAAGGGCTGTAGTATGTGAATGATTATTGATTTGTGCTTGTGTTATTTGGTAATGTGACTTTTGAATTACAGTATGATCAGTAAGAAATTTCATTAAAAATTATTTTAATTTTTTGTTGGGATTAACTTTTCTTTTCTTAATTTTCTTGAATTGAAAACATTGATAGCTATACTTTTTGTTACAATTATCAAACAATAATTTGAGTTTTCTGCTAGGATCATCTTTTTTTTTTCTTGATTTTCTTAAATTCAAAATAATGATGGTTAATCCACTGGGATTAAGTTTGACAGTGCATATTGATGACAATGATTGAAAATATAAAAAGATGAATTATGACGGAAAAGATGTATAAAAATGATGGAATGGATGTATAAAAATGGTTTAGATGTATAGATAGATATATGAAAATGGTGTGAATAGATGTATGAAATGATTGAAGGAATTATGATAGAATAGATATATAAAACTTGCATGGATGTATACTGTTTAAATAAATGAATTTGATAATGATAATATTGAAATGTGATCTGGATGAAAATAGTATTTTTTTTTTTTTTAATATGGATGGATATAGAGTGTGATAGATATATAATAATGATGAATGTAAATACTGTCTCCCAAATTGTATCTTTAAATAAAATGTTCTCATGAATATTTTGATATTTGATAAATGGTTACTTATAAATTTTAAATCATCAAAATGATATTCTTTTTCTCGACCCATATAAGAATTTAGTTATATAACAAATTTTATCTAAAATGTAGCCATTATATAGTACATGTATTCAAAAAGCCACAATAGTTGATTGAGGCTGTAGAAAGATATTACCAAAAATGCCCTTTGTACTATGATGCAGAGTGAGGTGATGTTTTTATAAAGGGCAATTGAAGTAACATCATAGATATAGATTGGAGAAATGCAATCAATTAATGTCAGGTTGCTATCTGATGAAATTTAATGTATAACGGCTGCATTTTGAATTAAAATTCGGTGAAATTAGCTAAATATAATATTCAATGTCATGATTTCAATTTAAATTTTCAATAAAAAAAAATTGTAATATCATTTATTAGTAAATTTATCTTTCTTGTGTCAATAAGTTGGAGATCTGTAACACCCTGAATTTTCTTACTATTTTCGTAAGGGTCTAAACTTAATATTGGTCATTTAGCAAATAGAATAATTCATATCTAGCCTTATAATCACACTAAGGGGCTGTTTGTTTCTGCTAAAAAGCATAAATCCAGCCGTTGGAATGGTAGAATTCCTACCGTTGGAAAAATTCAAGCCGCAATGTTTGACCCTTTGTGTGTTGTGTGGGACCCGCCTGCAACAACTAACGGTCAAAAAATCACAATTGTGGATGTGGAAAATCA